ATGGGGCTGGGGCCTGTCCCCTCTGGGGGGGCACCGGGTCTCATCCGGCCCCAGGGCAGGGACTGGCTGGCTCAGGGGGTGGGGAATGGGGCTGGGGCCTGTCCCCTCTGGGGGGGCACCGGGTCTCATCCGGCCCCAGGGCAGGGACTGGCTGGCTCAGGGGGTGGGGAATGGGGCTGGGGCCTGTCCCCTCTGGGGGGGCACCGGGTCTCATCCGGCCTCAGGACAGGGACTGGCTGGCTCGGGGAGGGCGGGGAATGGGGCACAGGGCCTGTCCCCTCTGGGGGGCGCCATCTGCGATCTGCCCCACGTGTGAAATCTCTAGGAATGCTGAGTGATGATAGACCAGTTGCCGTCCCCCCCATGTATCCATCGCTGCCTCCCCTCCCCCTGGACGAGCGTGGGGGTACAGCACCAAGACCCCAAAACTCCCAACCCTCCCTCCAATGTTTACTTGCCTCCTCCCACTGAGCCAGGCAGAGAATAGGGCGTCCTGCCTCCCAGCGCCCCCCCCCACCCCGCCCCCTAAGACCCAGTCTCCTCCCAGAGAACCCAGGAGTCCTGGCTTCCAGCCCCTCCCCTCTACCCAATAGACCCCCACTTCCCTCCGAGACAACCCAGGAGTTCTGGCTCCCCCCTCCCGCCCCCCGAACCACTAGACCCATCTCCTTCTACACTAGAGAGAGTTTGGGGGGCTGGTTGTCTCTCTCTCTGCTGCACATTGGGGGGTAATTGAGTTCTCCAGGGTGGGGGGCAGGAGACCCCCAGCTGCTCTCTCCCTCCCCCTCTGTGCCCCACGAGAGCCCGTCCCGTCTCAGAAGGCGGGACCTCACCAGCCTGGGCTGCTGTGTCATTTTTAGCGTCTCTGCCCCCCCCCCCCTCCTGTTCTCTGTCTCTCGGAGCCACCCAGCAAGTTGGGGCGGACCCACGGCCGGCTAGATCTGGGGAGCTCGCTGTGCTTCAAACCCCCCCTCGAAATTTGCCAAGGGTCCACCTGGCACCGCATGTGGGGGCCCCCCCAAATTTCTTGCCCAGCTCTAGGTGAGTGTCAAGCCGAGGCCGGCGGGGGACGGGTGGCGTCCGGTTTGGGGGAGTTGTGGAGAGAGGCCAACGGGCAGAGCGAATCGGGATGGGATGGAAGGGTGCAGAGGAACTGCAAACGGAGGGCTGGCGCGGGCGCCAGGGGGCAGTGGGAACGGAGGAGGGCTGGCGGGGGGGGCCAAGGGGCACTGGGAACAGAGGGGGGCTGGCGCGGGCGCCAGGGGGCACTGGGAACGGAGGGGGGCTGGCGGGGGGGGCAGAGGGCATTAGGAACAGAGGGCTGGCGGGGGTGCTGGGGACATTGGGAATGGGGGGCTGGTGCGGGGTGCCAGGGGGTACTGGGAATGGAGGAGGGCTGGTGCGGGGTGCCAGGGGGCACTGGGAATGGAGGGGGGCTGGTGGGGGGGTGCCAGGGGGCACTGGGAACGGAGGAGGGCTGGCAGGGGTGCCAGGGGGCACTGGGAATGGAGGGTGGCTGGCGGGGGTGCCAGGGGGCACTGGGAATGGAGGGCTGGCGGGGAGGGACAGGGGGCACTG